CGGTTTCAGTTCGGTTCATAGGAACACTAGTTAAAGGTTTATATGTAAAAATTTGCAGATTTACTAATATATACAAATATATGCAAAAATTTATATTTTGTATAAATGATGATATTTTGTGAACTAGTGGTTGGAATTGGATGAATTTTATACCATTCAATTCGTCTCAATGAGTCAAATCGAATAGTATAAACTTTATCCAATTCTGATTACTATATCACAATATATGCCACTTGGTCACAATACCCCACCTAGCCATAATACCCCATTTAACTTATATATAATTCTAGCCAGGTGCTATTAGACATTTAAAGAGCAACTTCAAATAGATAGCTACTTTAGATAAGTAATATGCCAACTATATGATTTTTGGATTTTAATTTGTTCTAGAATATTCTAAATTTTTTGCATATATAGCACAATACTACAAATAATAATGTAATTAAAATTCTATAATCTGATTGGTTAATAAATATATATTTGATTTTTATTGATTTTTATTGAAAATTTTCAATGTTTTAAACCATTTAAAATATGTTTTAAAACACAATGTTTTAAAACATTTGCCATCCCTAACTACAGCCTTTATTAGTTCGATTAATAAATTCATGTTTAACTACTGTATTCATATATTTTAACTAAACTAACTATTTTCTAAGACTAATTCTAAGTATACACAGTACAAGTTTTATTTTTGCTTAAATTTTTGATTTGACACATACTTCGTCCTTAACAATAAAACAGTACTACAAAATTACAATATTTTAGTACTTCATTCTTTTTGTTAAAAAGCTTTCAAAAACTGGGTAAAGTTATTAAGAATATTTATATTACATAAAAATACTTCATAAAATGGTAAATGTAGAGATCGATTACACCACTAGTTCTATAAAATACAAACAAAAAGCTATCTTTAGAGGCAAGATTCTTTCGGGTTTGTTTTCTATCTTACTTTAAACCCAACAACAATATAGTATTTAGTTTTTTAAGTCGTTGCACTATATCACATGAGTGCAATTTCCTTTTATAAACCCCTGAAACTAGTGATTGAAAACAGACTACATTGCAATTTACTATGAAAAGGGGATTTCACGTATATATGTCGATCACTCAAATTTCATAGTAAAAAATTACCCCAGTGATCTGCGTGACATATTGATTGACTGTTATTTTATATTTACGTACGTACGTACATAATTATTAAAATATACGAATACCTCTGTATTCTCTGTATTGCTATAATAAATCATATATAAAAGGTTTAATTTTCAATAACAAAGTTTCTTTGATATTAGCAGTAAGCTAATTCACGCAAATTAAAAATTTATAACAAAATGTTTATAAAAATAATTACAAACTGATCCATCTCATATTCAATCAACATCTCTAATAATTTGTAATCTCTACGCCAGGGTTCGCTGGTCTCAGCAGCGCAATCCTGTCTTTTCGCATTTCTATTTCACGTTTTTCATAAAATTCGAATTTATCAAATATTGATGATCTGCTACTATAATCGTAAAATTTTTTCAACATTTCATGACCAGGTTCAGGATATAGTTCTTGAGTATCACGACTATATGTGACGGGTTTATTTTCGTTGTTTCTGAAATATGTCCCACAAAATTTAAATAAAATAATTAATTTAAAATTAAATGTCAAAATTATATTACAATTAAATTTTAGCAAAACATACACTAGCTTAATATGACTCAGATGATTATTGGGAATATCTTTAACGAAAATCCATTTAACTTTAATTATTCCCTTCCATTTATCTTGAGCCCAAACGGTAGCACTCGTTGTATAATCTACAGGAGTAAGCATCTCTGCCATACCACAAAAATATCCACTAAATGAATTACAATAAATACGAGTGAACAACAATTAGAATAAATAGAAAAATGAAATAATTTATCTGCAATTAAACCAATTTAATATTATTCACCTAGCAATGATACTAAAAAATAAATAAATTGGACCTTTATCCGCATTATCACGAAAAGCTTTATCCAAACGATGATTACCGACTTCTGTGCTGGCCCAAATGTCATACTATAATGATAAAAATCATAATAACGTATTACCGTATTTAAAAAAAGCATTTATATATATCAAAGAATATGAACATATACATACTTTAATCGATTTATGAATATCATCTCCTGTACAAGATTTAATTACGAAGAATCGTGCCTAGATTATTGAAAATAATAATCAAAATTATTCACAGAATGTCGGAGCTAAAAGAATGCATAATATATAAATGAACACTTACGTGAGGTGGTTTGCAATTAAAAGTCTTTGGATTATATCCTCTTGCCGAAATCCATGATTGAATCTCAGAATTTGAAGCAAAAACGGTATTAATACTATTCCCTGTTCCAGAAATTTCAGTTTTGTTGTGACAAAAATCAGTAGATGAAGAAATCGTTATATCTGCATATATGATATGTTAGAACTTACCAACGAACATACACAAAATAATAAGACAAATATTGTGCTTACCATTTAAAACTGTAGCGGAAATATTTCTTGGTGGCAATATAGTGTCGGAGATTATTCGAGGAGGTAAAATGGTTGAAACGATAGCCTTATTTGGATCCATAAATTTTGCCATAATATCCTCCCACAAATTAGGTTCAAGGATTTGATGATATGGATATATTTTCTTCATAATAACATCACCAGTAATTTGAAAGTAGCGAATATGTGGTAAACAATTTTTGAGAACTGTTTTTAATGATAAAAATTTTTCATCAGACCATTGTGTAGGATCAGGACTAGAATTAAGATCAGAGTTTTGAGCTATTCCCCATCTAACAACTCGATCCCAAATTTTTCCTTCATCTATTTGTAAGTCATCAAGCTTCAAGAGAGAAACCAAAGCATTTTCTCGAAGAGTTATAAAATCTTCGGAATCAAATAGAATATTTGGATATTTAGCAATTATATTATTACAAAATTGTTGCAAAACTTTAAAGCTATCATTTTCAAAACTTAAGTTATGAATGCTAAAAAAATGCAAACGAATCCAGGAAGCATGATCTTTAACTAATTGTAATTGTATATGATTAGTCAACTCTTTAAGACCAAATTCATTCGCATTAGTTAAAAGGCTAAGGAGTGTAGACGCATTAACTTTTTCGAATGTAACAATACCACCATAAATATACCTATATAATTTAAGAAATTAATGTTTAAAATTTTACTGAATTTAAAAAGATAATTCAATAATAATAATAATAATAATAATATAACAACTTAATAATGATTTTAAATTCTGCAACAGAAATACTTGAATTTTTGAAAATTTTAATGGAATTATTTTCATTATTAATCAATTTATCACGGAAATAAGGGCATCTAGAATTTAATATAATTGAATGGGCCTTAAAAGTTTGATGGTTTGGCGTTTGTCCAACTTCAATTAATACATTATGGTCTTCACCAGTTTCAAGAAGATTTGTTAGATCGTTAGAAAGTTTTGTTAAAAATTCTGCATCCATTTTTTCCGAGAACATCCTACCAAATCCATATTTCAGTATTTATATATTTGTTGGTAAGGTCACACCAAGTCCTTTATTTAACGTAATATCTTAATGCATAAGATTTTATTGGCCAAAAATGACGTAATTACTTAGTTGGTTAGTGCAGTCTGCCGATTTACCAAATTTGGCCGACCAATCAAATTATAGAATTTTGATGATCGCCGACGAAGCAAAACAAGACAAAAAAAGAAAAACTTGAAACTACAAAAAATAGCAGTCTAAACCCACCTTGGGTAAGTTAAGTAAAAATGTCGGGAAGGCAATTTTGCTTATATATAACTACTTAAAACCTGCTCTAAGCCTAATCCAAGATGACTATAACTTATAAAGGGGCTGATCAGAAGATTCTAGATCGTTATATAAATTGCAAAAATTAATATATCCGTTGATTAGACCTTTCAAGTTTGCATTTAAATTAATTTTGCAAAGCATAATGATCGAAGCATTTAAAATTAGGCTGTTCAAGCCCATGAATATTTATTGTATACGTATGTATATTTAAATTGAGCAATTCAACAGTCACACGATTTGTCACGCAGATCATGGGGTAAATTTTTTCCTATGAAATTTGAGTGATCAACATGCATATGATGTAGAGATGCGAACCGTTTGCCGATCCTAACAGTTTTCAGCCCAAATTAACCGTAATGCGGCCAAAAACTGGTAGGATCGACAAACGGTTCGCATCTCTAATAAGATGTGCTCAATTTTCATAGTAAATTGCAACGGTCACCTACTTTCAATCATTTATTTCGTGGGGTTCTAAAAAGGAAACTGCACTTACAACACATAGTACGACAGTTCAGAAAATTGAATTCTATGTTGTATTATGTTTAAAGTGCAGCAAGAAATAAAACTGAGAATAATTTTGTCTCCAAAGATCGCCCGTCATTTCATCACACATAATACTAGTGGTATTAAAAAGGTTGTATTTCGCAAATTTTCAAAGTCTTTTTTGGCTTTTCTGATTATAATAACTATTTTTAATACCAAAGTGTTTACATTTTCAAGTTAGTTTTTAGGTAGGTTGTCAAGCACTTGCTTTCTTCTCAGTTAAAAGACTCAATTTCACAAGAAAAAAGATCAGCAATTTTAGCTTTGGAATAAAGTAAATTAATTTTATTGAAGTTATTAATCTGGTAGACAAGTATAAATTCATATAGGCTAATATGATGTATTTGTCAATCATTTGAAATGTGATAATATAAAAACAATAATCACATCTATTTTTAGATATTATTTTTCACACTATGTTAACTTCTGTGACTTCAATGTTTTATTGCAGATTTTGTTCAAAAACTTATATTTATAAGGGCTCTTTAAGAGCTTATGAAATTAAAAAGCACAAAGACAATAAATCTCTTCATAGTAAAACCCACTTTATACTCCTCTTTACTCTGATTGCTAGCAATTTTGTTCAACTTTCATAAATCTTGTTTAGAAATGTTTAACCTCTTATCATTCTACGCAAGGTCTAAAACTTATAGAATTTTCTTGTTTTAAAAATATTTTTGCTTTTTATTTTTAGAATGAAAAAAATTTTCAATATATACACTACCAAAAAAGCATAATTGTATACAGTCAGACCTCCTTATAATCACACCTCATATAGTCACACCTCTATTTAAGCACCCAATTTTGTGCGATGGACTTAAAACATAGTAAAAAAACCTCATTATAGTCACAAATTGCTTATAATCACTATCACCATAAAAATTTGATTTTTTAACAATTTTATTAATAAAAAACCCTCATTATAGTAACCAATTTTTAACTAAATACTGATTATAAAATCTGATTGA